CCCTCCCCCCTCGTGCGCCGGCCACAAACAAGCCACATCTTGGCGCTGTCCTGCTCTCCTGCCCTCTGTCCGGCCGCCGGCGCCGGCACGGGAGAGCCGCCCTTTGACCCCACCATCGAGAAGGGACGGCGGTACTGCGCGACGACCTTTGCTGCTCGCCTCAAAGGGAATAAGCCATCTCAATTTGTTCCCCTATCTCTCTCTCTCCCTCTCCCTTTTCTTAGTACGGTGCGTGCAACGGGGACCGAAAGAGAGAGGACTGGCATCAATTATTTTTCATCCCGTTTGTGCACCGAATGATGAATAATGCACGTCCACTTTGAAAAATTGCACGTGTCTGGAAATTTGCATACGTGTTGATGCACGGCCGTGTGTGCTCGGCCGGCAAGCAACTCAGCTTCTTATACCTATAAATAACACGACGCTAACTTTCCTGATATACTCTTGCCCTGTGTGCCCCTGAAGTGGGCGCAAGGTCTCATGGACATTTCCGTCACTTCCGCTTCAGATAGTGCCAGTTTTTGGCCGAGCAGGGAGGGGTCGGCGCGGGGGCTCGACGGAGCAGAGAGGGTCCTCTTCCCTGAAATACGGCCTCCCGAATCTGGCTGGCTCCAATAAATTTCAGCGGCGGGTGAAGATATTGTGAGACCGCTGAATAGCCGGCCGGGGGCGCCGGGCAGGCACGGCCCAAGCCCAGCGGCCCGGAGGAGTAAAATATTTCAGCGTGTGATAGGAGGGGCGGGATTTGGGCGTCAGCGGGGAAATCCTGGGGCTATGGACGGAATGGGCCATTTCGGCTGCTGCAGCGCGTGACCTTGAGCTAGGGGCAAGGGGGAAAGGTTACATAATAAGATGACGCGCGAGCATAAGGGCGGTTTACATGCATAATTTCACAATGCAATTTTCGCCTCCTCATCGCGATTGTTTTCTCTGCTAAATGTGAGCGCACCGTTTTACCAACCTATGACTGCGACTGCCGCGGCAAGTGGAATAAACCCGAATAAACCAAATCAAATATTGGCACAACACCTATCTTTTTTTGGGCGCGCATGCAGAGCACGTGATGGCGATGAGGTACGCCTGCCCTCGTCAAGACAGAATGTGCAATCGTAATTGGAACGTGCTGCAACCCCCGACGTTGACGTCATGGATGCAATAATACTGCATTTGAAATAAGCGAAAGATATAAAAGAAATGGAAAAGACATGGCTGCACAGTTACAAAAAAACTCTACTTCTATTACTACTCTAAATGGTACAAAATTGCAACTGTTAAAGATTTACTTAGGAATGCATCCTTGCTGGATACAAAATTGCCCCTTCTCAATTTGAGTGTAGTTGATTAGGGTCCATCGTTGTAAATTTTGCAATTTAGGTTGTGAATCGCACTATTCGCCGTGCATTCTTCGGCAAAGTGACACACGTCGAGCACTTCATGCCATTTCCCCTCCTTGGCAACAGCACTGCACCTGCAGCCGCACCTGTTATAGCAAATGGCGCAGTACAGTCGACACTGCGTTTTCTAGGAGGTGCGAAGGGGGTGTACTCCTCCTATAAAAGACTGGAGGAATTGATGCAACGGCAGATCGACTCTCAGTCCCCAACCGAGAAACATCATGGCCAAGTTCCTGTGCCTCCTTGCCCTGTGCGCCGTGGTAAGCAAGTCGACCAGCAACAATACGGTACTCGATAATTATTTTGTCTCTCTCGATCTTAAAACGTTCACGGCCTCTTTCTTCAGGCCACCGCCACCCCCATCATCCCCGGCATGAACCTGGGCCTGGGCAGCAGCTCCGGCCTGGCTTCCGGTCTGAGCAGTCTCTCCTCCCTGCCCGCTAGCTTCGCCAACCTCGGTGCTGGTCTCGCCGGCCAGGCCGCGAGCCTCGGCGCTGGTCTCGCCCAGCAGGCCGCCACCGTCGGTACTGGTCTTGCCGGACAGGCCGCCACCGCTGGTCTCTCTGCCGCTCAGCAGGCTCTGGCCACTGGTACTGGCCTCGCTAGCGAGGCCGCCAACCTCGGTGCTGGTCTCGCCCAGCAGGCCGCCGCCGTCGGTACTGGTCTTGCCGGCCAGGCTGCCAACGCTGGTCTCTCTGCCGCCCAGCAGGCCGCTGGCTCTCTTGGTGGACTCGCCGGTCTCAGCAACGGCTTCGTGGGCCTGGCTAACCCCCTGTCCCTGAGCAGGCAGACCCGTGATGTCAGCGTGTCCGTTGACGGATCCGCTCTCTCCGACGCCGCCCAGGCCGCCAGCGGCGCCCTCAGCTCCGCCGCCGACAAAGCTGCCGACGTCGCCGCCAGCGCCGTCAACGCTGGTTCCAACGCCCTCAGTGCCGCCGTCGGCACCGGCGCTGACCTCTTCAACGCCAAGCTCGCCGTCGAGGGAGCCCTCCTGAACGCTGCTTCCGATGTTGCTGGTGAGGCTGTCCAGGCTGGTCTCAATGCCGCCGGTTCCGTCGCCGACACCGCCTCTAAGGTCGCCTCCAACGCCGTCGCCTCTGGCTCCGACGCCATCAGCGCCGCTGTCAACACTGGTGCCGACCTCTTCAACGCCAAGCTCGCCGTCGAGGGCGCTCTCCTGAACGCCGCCACTGACGTTGCTGGTGACGTCGTCAAGGCTGGCCTCCAGGCCTCTGGAGCCGCTGCCGACACCGCTGCTGACGTCGCCGCCAACGCCGTCGCCGCTGGTTCCAAGGCCATCAACGCCGCCGTCGGCACTGGCGCCGACCTCTTCAAGGCCAAGCTCGCCGTCGAGGGAGCCCTTCTCGGAGCTGCCGCTGATGTTGCTGGTAAAGCCGCGGGTGTCGCCGGCAACATGGCCAGCCAGGGAGCCCAGCTTGCCGCTGGTGTTGCCGACACTGGCATCGCCGCCGGCCAGAACCTCCTGAAGTCCGGCATCGCCGCTGCTGAGGAAGTCGCCCAGACTGGTGCTGGCATCGCCGCCAAGGTTGCCGAGGCCGGATCCGGTCTGTTCGGCACCGCCCTCAACATGGGTCTGGGAGGCGTCAGGGCCGCCGCTGGCCTCGCCAACTCCGCCGTCGACGCCGCCGCCAACGCCGGCCGCTCTGCCGCTGGTGCCGTCGGTGCCGCCGCTGGCGGTCTCGGCTCCCGCTCCGGCTCCCTCTCCCTCCCCAGCTTCGGCGTGTCCTTCGGTTAAGCGATTTAAACTTAATCTCGCCAATTGACCGCAGACTGTGCCAAGAGAGCAGCAAATAAATGGCAATTTGAGAAAATATTGACTTAATGATTCACATTGGAAATAGAAAACAAAACTCCCCTTTTGCTTTGCGATGGCTCTGGTTCTAGTTGATTTCGGGCTGGATCTGTTGCTAACACCCTCTTGCTAAAAAGTGCCTAACAACTGTGGCGATTTCCCATTTCAGTTCGGCAGTGAGTTTGTTCTTTTTCACTTCAATTTTACACTCCCTTATTCGACAACAAAAACAAAAACAAAAAACACAATACCGCTCGAATGATTCGTACGACGCGTACGCACTGGACAAATAAAGGTGCTAAGTAGCACCTTAAATTGTGTGCTAAAGAAATTTTGAGTTAAAAACCAGTACAGTACAAAGACACGAACAATGTCCTAAAAATTAGTGCGTTTAACATTTTTCTTTTTTTCTTCTGTAAAGGCACAACCTTGAACACATATTAAAGATGTGACTTAACCCATCTTTCAAGTGCGGACACAAAATGCAGTCTGCTTTCTCCCTTAGTCGCAGTCTCAGCAGAGGTTCCCTGTTGTTCATGACGACCGTCGTTCAATCATCTACATCCGATGTTATTTGAGAGGTGCCCGATGAGTCCATAAGTCGACGCCACCTGTGTTTGCACAGTGCGGGAATCTGCCGCCACCCGTTGAAACGACGTCGATAGGCGGACTTGTGACGCAGCCAACCGAAGGCGAGCGGCACTATAAAAGGGCGCGGATGTCGGGGCAACAGCAAGACGCCTCCCAGTCTACAAACCAACAACAACCATGGCTAAGTTCCTGTGCCTTCTCGCCCTGTGCGCCGTGGTAAGAACGACATCTACACCTCTGAGGAGCTCTCGAGTCTGTCAGACCTTGAAACACTTACGAAAGTGTAATCGTCTACTTTCAGGCTTCGGCCAGCCCCGTCTCCTTTGGACTGGGAAGCATCTCCAGCCTGGCTAGCCTCCCCGCCCAGGTTGCCTCTTCTGGTCTGGC